TTGGCCCAGGATCGAGCATTGTTTCGTTCTGCTGTGCATGGGGTCGCTATGAGTCGGTTCCAACTCGATGGCACCTGACAACAACAACAATCATGAAAGACAAGAAGAGTGTACAAGAAGCTGAATGAACACCAAGCAGGATAGGTCCCCAAAGAAAATCACCAAGACGGATCAGAATCAAACTCTCCAAAATCAAAGATAAGAAAAGAATGCTGAGCTCAGTACTGGAAATATGGAAAGTTACCTACAAAGGAGAACCAGTAAAATGAAGCCCTGATTTCTCAGCAGAAACCGGGAGGCAAGAAGGCAAAGGGATGGCATAAGCAAAACTCTGAAAGAAAAAAAAAAATGTCAACCAAGAATATATACCCAGGGCTCTCGCCTCATGGAAAGAGAAAGACGGAGTGCTGGTGGCCAGAAGGCAGGCTTGCAGAATGTGTCCTTTGGTTGTTTATATTACTATATTCCTGGGTGTTTTGTGTACACCCCCCCCCCAAACAAAACAAAACAGAGGGAATAGACGCAAATACTGTTGAATGCTATTTAAAAAATGCATGTATCTCACTTCGAGGTAGTCGCTTTCTGGGGGTGGTCTGGGACTGAACCCATGGTATCTCTGAAGTCTGCGTGTATTTCAATAAATAATGTTGTTGTTGTTAAGTGCCATCGAGTCGGTTCTGACCCCTAGCAACCCTGTATAGGGTTTCCGAGGAGAGACTAGTGAGCTTGAACTGCCGACCTTGCAGTTTAAATGGCTTTGCAGTCTGGTGCATTAACCCACAGCGCCACCCCAGGACGCCCTCAATAAATAATAGTACCTACAAAAAAGAATATACACCCAGCAAAGGTGTCCCTCAAATATGATGGCGAAATTAGGACATTTCCTGAAAAACAGACATTAAAGGAATTTGCAATGACCAGGTCAACTTTACAAAAATTACTAAATGGTGTCCTTTGGGCTGAGAACCAACTACAGCAGACAACAGCCTGAGATGACCCACACATGACACCACCACCCAGAACCCAATCCAGATATAGAAGGATTTAAAGTAAAACAAATCTGGTTGGTGTTAAATGCCATTGAGCTGGTTCCAATTCATAGTGACCCAGTATAGGAGCGACTGGTAAATTTGAACCACCAACCTTGAAAATAGGGAATCAGAGACATAATGTACAATCAAGTCAACTACAAAGCAAAAAGAGGGAATAGTGTAGATACAGAACTTCCAAATGGTAAAAACGTCAAGTAGATTTCAAGATAAAAGAGACTGTTTTAAGCAAGGGGAAAATTAATAAATTATAGGGTAACTTCAAAGAGAAATAATACACCTATACATCAAAACAAAAAAAAGAGGAAAATCAGAATGATTTAGTAAACATTAACACAACAGAAATTAAACGGAAACTCACAAACAAAATTAACTTGGCATAGAAAATTATGTGGAACAAAGAATCTAGAAGTGCCATCCACGCACACAAAACAAAAAACAAAACACACAGAAAAATGACAGCAATCAATTCATACCTATTGATAATTACACTGAATATAAATGGATTAAATGCACCAGTCAAAAGACATAGAGAGCAGACTGGATAAGAAAACAGGATCCTTCAATATGCTGTCTACAAGACATTTATTAAAAAGATGGAGACAGCCTAAATGCCCATCAACTTAAGAATGGTTAAACAAACTTTGCTACAGACACACATGAAATACTACAAAACATTGAAGAATAATGATGAATCTGTGAAACACCTCACAACATAGTTGAATCTGGAGGACATTATGAAATTAATTACAAAAGGACAAATATTGTATGAGACCAAGGTAGAAAGTTAAAAAGAAAAAATGTTTTCTGGATAAAAGAAGCAATTTATAATGGTTGGGAGGGGCTAGAGGGTAGACACATGATAACCTGGGTGAAGGGCAGACAATATACAAGCAGAGGGAGGTTAGCAGAGGAGAGATGGAGGTAGCCGGAGACACAGGGAGGAATGTAAGAGGTGAGTAGAGGTCAATTTTGTTAACTGTTGGTGCATGGAGGGGATTGCAATCATTGTAATGTAACAAAATATACAATTTGCTGAATATAAAACTGATGATCTGCTCTGAAAACCTTCACTCAATTCACAATTAAAATTTGAAAGAAAGAAAGAATAAAGAAGTGCGTGATTGGCTTTATGGTGATCTTTGCTTTATTGTGGTGGTCCGGAACGGAGCCCTGAACATCTCTGAAGTCTGCCTGAATGTTGTTTCATCAGAGATTAGTACTGCCACTCCTGTTCGTTTTTTATTGCAATTAGCTTGGTATGTTTTTTTCCATCCTTTGTCTTTTAATCTGTTTTTGTCTCTGTGTGTGAGATGTGTCTCTTGCAGACAGCATATTGAGGGATCTTGTTTTCTTATCCATTCTGCCACCCTCCATCTCTTAACTGGTGCATTTAATCCGTTTACATT